GACCAAGATTGTGTTTTTAAATCTTAAGAGCAAACACAAAGGAAAACGTTCATCTAATACTTGTTGAAAGTTTGACATAAATTATGTTCCTCTAAGGTTTAGAAAACAGCTGGTACAGTTGCTGTAATTCAGTGTCAGCTTTCAATGGGACATGTTGTCAAATAAAACAAGATTATTTGCTTAATGGTTTGATGTTAAAATCCTCTAAGTGTTTGCACTCAGACGATGAATGGATGGATTTCCCTCTCCATCAGTGGGTTTATTCATTCTCACCTGGTGCTCTGAAACCACAGTTCAGGTTTAGACACTCAGTCCTTCAAATTCAAGAGCTGCAAATGGACAGCTGAGATGCGCACTCAGTAGTTGTGTCACAGTGGGAGAACATTAGTGCCAAAATTTGAGCTTTTTTTCTTCTTCTTTTTTTACCTGCAGCAACTTTAAATGCCATTTTTACATATCCTCAAATATTATATGTATTGACAAGAGCGTAAAATGAAATTGCAGCACATACAGTAATTGTATCGAGTGAGTAAGTTTGCATATAGACGGTAGGGACATCTCCCTACCCATATTTTGGGAGGACAGAAATTGTCCCTACCAATATTTGAAGGAACTAGTTCGCACTAAGTTTGGAGTGAAGTCATTAGATAATTCCAGAGGCAGAGGCTTCGTCTCCAGGACGACTGCTTTAGGCATGCTGGCATTTGATTGGCTGAAAGGGCGGCGACTATTTGGAGGCTCACATCATGTATTAAATGAATATGGCACTTACTGTCGGACACGGAGGAGGGAGTGGCTCAGTGCGCTGACGATGGTATCGATGCTGTATGATTACTAGTATTTCAGATGACTCTCTGTCCTCTATTGCCTGAACTGCACAGCACACAGAACTTAACGTTGCCCTCACCGACATGTTTTGTACTTTATAGATATCTTGCCTCCAAAAAAGAGACATCAGGAGCTTTTTCACCGCACAGAGTGTCGATAATAGGTTGTAAACTAACTAGCAAATAGCCACCTTGATTTAAATTGAAAACCTGTAAGGTAGCTAACGTCACCAGCCTTTTGGTATTAGATTGTTAATACTGATGCATCACTGGATTAGCAGGATTTTACTGATGTAGCAGGTCAAGGTGGAACAAGCTTTAAATGGGAAATCAAGGAGAACTGGGACACTGGTAGGACTACTGAATATAAACATGTTGATGTTGGATGCAAAAATATGGTTTTGGTTTTTCTTCTCTCGTCTCTGTTAACACCTAATTTCCTAAAATGTACTTTCTTTGAATCTGTGATCTGTTACTGTGTATAGTTTTTATTTAAATGTAAATACAGATTATATGTTAATAAACCATTTGGTTGACAGCATTAAAAAGTCCACTGCGTTTTGGAGGAGTTATGTCCTTTCCAATGTTGAGACCAAACCTCCGCCCTTGAATTGTACCATCATTGCTACAACTCTGTAAGGCTGATGCATCTTCGGAGTGTTTAACCTGACCTCAGCACTTCCTCATTTTTACCCTATTTCATGTAAAAGGATGTGCGTGTTTGTGTTTTGGCTTAAAATGCGAAATACTGCGTCTCTTAAAACATATTTGAGAAAAGTATACGGCGTATATTTTTAAAACTAAAGAAATTGTTTGACATTTAAGGACAAGTATTTATTCGCTAAGAAGTAAGATGAGATGTCGACTATTCCTTTCAATTGAAAAAACACTTGTTTTTTGAAAAGTTAAAACTACCTGAGGGGAAAAGCAAATTCTTCTTTTACGCCTCCCTGTCACTTCCAAAACATCTGAAACGGTGAACCTGCAGTTCAGGATGTCTCTGTGACTTCTGCTCACTGCACACTGGGATGTTGGGATGCTGATAAATGGTGTGAGTTAGTGGATGGACAGAATCCAGGCCTTTGCTCTTCAACCCTTCTCCTCAGACAGCACTCAGAACCCCGCTGGCGTTCGTTCTAATGTAATCAGTGACTATTTTACTATATTACTGGAATGCAAAAATGGATGCAGCAGATGATTATGTGCATTTAACTGCCAGGTAAGAGCAGCAGGCTCCGGTGGATGCTGAGTTGCAGCACTGAAAGCTGAGCCATCTGATTCCAGCAAGGTGGATATAATATCATTGCACTGGTCATTACTGTAATTAATATAGTGAGTTATTGAAATTAAGATGAAACCAGAAAAATGTCAGTCCATCCGTGCCTTTCATATTAATGATGTGACTGCGTGATACCGAAGAGAGGATGGACACTCTGGCAAAATCCCCGGAGACCTTCCCCTTTGACGGTCGGCGCCATGGAAACATACAGCGATTTGTCTGTCACAGTGTCCCTGGTGGAAAGCTCATAATTACGAGTGCATTGTGATTAGACTGAAGTCTGGATTATAAGACAACAGGCCTCATTCTCAGCTCATCTCTTTCTCTTTCAGCTAATGGAACTGACTCATCTTCAGAAATGAGAATTCAATTGATTTTTCTTTTTCTTTTCTTTATTTGCCAGGTATAGAACTGCCTCTGTGTGTGTGTGTGTGTGTGTGTGTGTGTGAGAGAGGAGATACACGACTGAACAAGAAAGAAAAAGAAAAAATCAGCTGATGGAGCTCAGAGCTTACAACCTTGACAAACTGATTAGGTGGGAGACTACTTTCAGGTAGCTTGAAAGACACCATCTGCTAGTTGCAAACACATACACACACACACACACACACACACACACACACACACACACACACACACACAAACACACACAGCTTCTGAGGCACAGACAGAAGCATTTGAGATATAAAACTTCATGTCATTGTAATGGGGAACACTTAACACCAAATGTGAAAACATAAAATGTATAAATAAGGCAGCAGAGTAAATTTTGTATTCCAACACTACACGGATAATGGGGATTATGTAAACCTTTTGCACAGCTTAATGCCATCAGAAATATTCTGCCTCAACAGGCAAATCCTAAAATGCTTCTCCTCTGTAAAAAAAAAAAAAAAAAAAAGGTGGGGAAAGGGAGTTTTTGTAAGCTGCATCAGTGTTTGTTTACTGATTTCCACAACTCGGTACATTTTTCCCGGCACATGATTTAGCCTTGTATAAACCTTTGGCGGCACAGTGCAACCCAGCAGCAACGAAGCTTTGGCTCCTTTAGAGAACATGAAAAAGACGTCTTCAAGGTTACAGATGTTTAATTACAATGATGTTATCTCTAATGAACCAAATCGTCCTTGCAAAGCCACCATTAACAGCACAATGGCGAGGGGTTGGCGGTCGCTGCAGGGGGTTATGGGCCTTCAGTTTGCAAGAACAACGTCTAAACCTTTCAAATTAATATGGACTCCAGGGCACACAGAGATGCAGTCGGTTTCCTTCAGATTGTGAGACTTACAGGACCATTTGAAGGGGTTTGAGGGTGCCAATCAATATTTGTGGAAGGATTTCTCGGTGCAGACGTCTATGTCTTTGTGTCAGGTGACTGATGGGCAGCAGTTTGTAACATAATGCAGTAAAGATTGTTATGCCACTGAGGCTTAACGGCTTAAAACTCACTAGTGTAAAAAGAATAAAAGACTGATATAATATTTATAAAAGAAGATAATACAATGTTTAGGAGCAACTGGCTTAGTATTGCACTTTCATGAAGTTGGAGGACTTCCAAGAGACAGATCAAAAACAGAGCGGTCAAAATGGAAGCAGCAGAAGCAGAGACATCCCAGTCCCTATATGTCAAAAATAACCAAGATGACTTTATCAGGCTGAGTGGTACTCCTCATGACAAACTGATCACCATGTGTAAAGTCATTGGAGTCACGCAACAAAAAGTATCAGTGCCTCATTTACACGTCAGGCAAAGGAGGGAATTAACTATTAAAAGAAAGAGTTGTAAATGACTGTTCCATATCAAGTTTTGGAATAAATTCAAAAGAGTTTCTCCGTATGAAGAACTAGCTGAAGTTCTCACTTTTTTTCTAATTATTAAATCTCTGCTCGTAAACATCTGAAACTAATCACATAGATTATTTTGCCAAATGTCCTAGCCTCAACACGACCTGCCATCAACATTTTCATTTTTTAGCACAGACACAACACTGACAAATTATCATCGCGTTATCAACGATGTGTTAGCAAACAGTTACCTACTTAAAGCAGATTCGCATTCATTTGGATTCATGTTTCCGCCCATGACAAAAGCAATTCTGATATTCACGCTCCTTTGAGCTGTTTTTGGGTTCCACCAACTCTTGAGGGAAATATCTGGGTCTTTATGGCTGCTAAATGCTCCACTATGTTCACCAGCTATTCACTAACTTTATTCGCTACTCCATGTTGAGCAAGAAGTGAGTGTGAACCAAAGCAGTAAAGTTGTGACTCAAAAAAATCAAAACGATGCGATAAAAGACGCTAAAATGCTCCATATAACTCAGGTAAACTGCACAGTTCATTGATAATTCTCTGTAGCTTTGTCACTATGGTGACCGCTTTCACATTACATGCAATCATTTGATCCATTGTTGACTTAAAAAATATTGATTAGTGCAGCTTTAATGTGCTGCCTGACAAACAATTGTGAATTTGAAGGTGCAGTTTTTTTTCCAGTATAGACTACTGTTCACTTATATATGTATTACAGTTATGTGTCAGATCAATGTTGTAACAGATTAATAAAAGTAAAAGAGCCTTTGTTTGACCCCCTGCCAGACAGCTGTGGTTTCATGAACCTTTCACACTGACACAAGTTATATATAAGAATTTTGAATTGCAAATATAGAATTGAGCCAGCGATATATACTATATATTCACTGAGTAGAGGACTCAAGACTCATTTCTAAAAAATAAAAATCCATTGGTGGAATCATAAAAATCTACTTTATATCATCAGAGTATGTGGTGCTGATGCTGCCTCCTCTCCTCCTTCTTCTACCCCCCCTCCTTCTGGCAGCATCCACTCTCATGTTACTGGCGTATTGGCTCCTTCTGTTGAGGTCCGTGTATTTACTCTCAGGACGACCCCTCCCACAGCGACATGCAACCCGAACCTGCAGGTGAGCAGTTCAGCCAGCGGCTTCCCTGTCCCCCCCTCACACTCTCGGCGGATTATCTGCGACGCACTTCACTCCCAAATGGACGAAGTTGCCTGTAGGATTTTTAGGATTCACATACGGGACGTGATCCCGCGTCGCGTCCGGAGAGCGCGTCTGGACGAGAGGACAGAGGAGCTGAGGGTGTGAACAGGCAGCGGTGAGGGCGTGAGGTGAGCCGTCGGCTGAGTTCATGTTTGTTCTGTTTGTTTTGTTTTGGTTTCTGGCTTTTGTACGGGGATATAAGAGGAAAATATCAGTATTGGTTAATAATAGGCCAATAATGTCAAATAGTTGCTCTTTTCATACACAGTCAGTTTCCTTTATACTCAGTCTATGACTTTTATCTCTTTGTTATCACTTGTATAAACTTTATAAGGACTGAAACTAACAATTCCTTTCAGTATCGATTCATCTGATAATTATTTTCTTATTTGGGCAACAAACAGTCGGAATGTAGTGAAAAATGCCCATCGAAATTTATTGAAAGCCCAGGGATTTGTTTTGTAACCTACAGTACCACATTCATTTTACAATGAGATAAAACTTGGAGAAAAAAAGTTGATCCTCACATTAAAGAAGATGCAACCACATAATAATGAGCATTTTTGCTTAAACAAATGACTCACATGTTTCTTGATTACCATATAATTAATTTTCTGTTGATCTGTTAGCTAATTGTTGCAGGTCTGAAGTTCAACTTCCACAGTTGCAGTTTTTTCTGCTTGGCTACAAATCACTTTTGAAATGATTACGAGAACAGCTTTGCAGGAGGAACAGCTGCTGGTAGATAGATAGATAGATAGATAGATAGATAGATAGATAGATAGATAGATAGATAGATAGATAGCAATTAAACAGAGTTTAGTATATGGTAAGGGGATAAAAATGAATGAAAATCTTTGAAAATAGTTGGTGCTGTAGCAAGAAGCAGACTGCATTGTGTTGGTTGGAAATGGGGGAGGAGTATGGATTACTAACATGTATGGATTAAGTTACACTTGTTCAGGCAGTTACTAACAGTTGTCATGTGCAGATGATATCAGCAGCTATTGCTGTTGTATTTAAATGTGGATTATTATTTATTTTTAGTTACGTGCATGTAATGCCTTTCTCTGTATTGTATTTTTACCCATGCTGTTACAGTTTGTTCTTACTGTTTATCTTACTGCCTTTTTTTGCTTATAATAATGTGTTTATGTATAATAGTTGTGTGATTGTTAAGAATGTTGTAGATTGTGTTAAGTGTCAACAGTATTTATTACTATAATCAATTGTACAAGCAGTATAAGACATAAGGAGATTCATTTCCACGTTCTCTGTATCTTCCTTGTTTCCTCTCTTCAGATCATAAAAGCCGTCCATTATCAGAGGCTTGTAAACCTGACATGTGTACACCCAGTGAAACAGTGACCTGAGATCCCACCTTGAGGGAAAACCAGGATGCGTCCCATTGCATCACAGCGTTTAGGTGTGACGAATGTCGGAGGCAGCCGCTGTGACCCTGCTGCGGCAGCCTTGCTGCTCCTCCTGTGTCTTGGCTTCCTTCCCTCTGTGGCGGCTTGCCCATCTTACTGCCTTTGTGCCAGTGATATCATTTCCTGCAGTGGCCGCAATCTGTCGGCACTGCCCTTTGATCTCCCAAACTATGCCACACGGTTGGACCTGAGCCACAATGCCCTCTATGCCCTGCCAACGGATTGGATTCTCCAACCATTTGACCGACTCACCACATTGGTCCTAAGTCGAAACTCCATAAGCCAAATTGAGGTGAATGCTTTCATTCTCACTCCACATCTCCTCCATTTGGACCTCTCATCCAACCAACTGACAGTGCTGAACTTGTCCATCTTCACTGGGTTGAAGGAACTAAAAGAACTACTGCTGTTTGACAACCAGATTGTCCAGATCAACCCAGGAGCCTTCAGTGATCTTCACAGCCTGCAGAAGCTCTACCTCTCTGGGAACAGACTGACGACTTTTCCCCTAGGGATTTACTGGGAACCTGGAGGGCCTCGTAACCTGACCTTTCTCGATCTGTCCTACAACAAGCTCTCTAAGGTGTCTGTCCAGAGTCTGCTGTCTGTCACCCGCCATGGGGGAATTTATTTACAGGAAAACCCATTGGTCTGTGACTGTGCTTTACTCGCCTTGCTTGAGTACTGGATGTGGAAACAGTATCGCCCCCTGGTGGAATTCAGAGGTGAATACCCATGTAAGGGCAATTCAGGACCAGGGCCTTTATGTAGCCAGCAGGGAGTGTCGGATATTCCCATTGAGGCACAGACTTACCAAGAAGAGCCTGGTAAAAGGTTGAGAGTGCCATGCCCAGGATTGGCTTCTTCAACCCAGGAGGGGCAGGTGGTGTTCTGGGTTACCCCAAGGACTGTAGTCAATTCATCAACCAATGATCCCAGCGCCCACTTAATAGTTCTCCCCAATGGCACCCTTGAAATCCGAGGAGCACTTCTGGAGGATTCAGGTACATATGGTTGCGTGGCAGCCCGCCGGCGAATCTATGAACATTCCGAGACTGTAGAGGTCAATGTGGTGGTCGGAAACTTGAGCACTGTCTCTGCCAGTGGCTTGGCGCATCGCAGTGGTGCAGAGCATTTCAACACTGCGTTCACCACCCTCGCCTCCTGTGTGGTCAGCATCGTATTGGTGCTGCTTTACCTCTACCTCACCCCCTGTCGCTGCAGAGAAAGCCGGGCTGGATCAAGAGGGTGCGGCGGACGAGCCATTATCCTCTGTTCAGACCCCAGAGAAGTGGACTCAGGACAACGGCGGTCAAACGGAAAGAGGGTGGCTTTCTTAGAGCCTCAGGCAGAGGACTCTGATATTGGCAGCCCAAAAACACCAGCAATGAACTTGGGTCATGTTACCACTGAGGGAATTCTCAAGAATGGAAGTAGGACAGTGGGACAGACCCTCACAGACCCTGCTCACATGGCATAGCAAGAAAATTAGCTTTAACACTCCTGTATCCTTTCAGTCTGAACCCAAGTGTTTTTTTTTTCACTGTCTTCAATATGAAATGAAAAAATCCATTTGATGTAAAGTCGTGTACTGTTTCTGATTCCTGTGAAGTACTTATACACTGTAGGGTTTGGGTTGTTGTAGGCAGAATTTCAATTATGTCTCGACTGTAAGTGGTATCTGTTTTTTATATTATGGAAATTTCGCAGGTACCGTGGGGAAATTGCTCCCGCAAAGATCACAAAGATGATATAAATGTGGGTGGCTTTTTAAGTTGGGCCAAGAGGAATATTCACACCTGGTTTGATAAGCTGCTGGAGGCATTCATGGTTAATATACAGTAGTTGAATTGTGAATACAGCCATCAAGGAGTCCCTTGTTGTTTTCAACCATCTGTCTCCTACTGTGATGCATATCATTATCAAAATACGGCAGTCATACCTATTAAATCATCTGCATTTTGATGTTTTTCAGATCAAACTGTATCTACCCCACATTATCCTCAAATTATGATGAGCAAATATAACCCTGTGAAAGTTCTTTTAGAAAATTAAAAAACAATACACAGTGAGACATGTACAGTAGTAGCCTATGTTGTGTTTAGTGTGTTTAGTAGGACAAAAATGCATTTTATGAACTCAAATTTGGTGAAATTCTCTTATGAGGGTGGTTCACTCACTTCCCTATAGTGGTATCTAGCTAATTAAATAGATTCAGCTTTATTTTCTCAGGTTTTAAGATCTGTCTCTTAGATTTCTGTCTCCACCCCAATACAATTAAAAGGAACTATTTGTAAGTTTTGCTATTGCTACATAGCCAACGTTAACATTAACAGCTGTTTAGTTACCAGTCTAGAAGAAACATTGAAGGAGTTCAGCATCACACTTCATTCCTTTACTCTCCAGAGGTGGAAAGCAATGCAAATAGTAACTCTTGTCTTTAGGTCCCAAGGAACCCACAGAAACAACTGGGACAACATGTCGCTGTTGAATTGTTTTTGTTTTTGCAGTGTTGTGAGACCACATACAAAATTCCATTCACCTCCATTGTATTGGGATGGAGGCAAAAAAAATTATTTGCATGGCAATTTTTTAAAAACAATTTGTGTGAACAACACAACTTATATCTAAAAAATCAAAGGTATGAGATATCCTTTTGGCAACCGTTATATACTATACGTATAACTTACATAATTTGACCACCATATCAAAAACCCACCTAGAGCTGGTTTAGAGTGACTCTTCAGCAGGCTTGAAACTCATCAACCTGATCCCTGTTCTTCCTGTTAAAATTGGACTTCCCTGCTCACCCTCTACCTTGTCACCCCAACTCCCAGCTTTACAAACAGCAGATCCATGGAAGAATTGACCCTTAGTGGTTCAGACAGGAGATGAGTTTGGGCTAGGCTATGAAGCCCCCTGTCAGCCCAGATCAGTGTCATAGAAATCAGAAGGAGATTTTCCAGCTCGCCCCAAGCCCACCGTGACCTACATTCCTGTGTCCTCTGTCTGATTTTAAAGGTGTGCGGAATGATTTCCTAGGTGCCAAGAGGCTTGTTATCATTTCCTTGGCTTTACATGTCTATGATATCACTATCTGAATATCAACTTTTTATATTTCTTCTGTTCTGTTAGACAAAGGGTACATTTTAAGTAGAGGCAGTGAAACTAACACTACAATGACTGATAATACTTGTAGGTATGAAATAAAATCTTTCAGTTTCAGAGGATGAGTGTGTTCCTTTATTATCACAAGTGAATATCACAGTAATGCTCATGTTCAACTTCTATAGTTCCTATTTCCATCATGTTTTGCTCCTCTCTCCGGTCAAATCTTTTTAGGCATTTACTTTGACCTGAAATGAAAGGAGACTTTTTGGGTGAAAAATGAAAAGTAGTCTTACATCAGTGGATTTAAGGACGACAAATAACCTCTTCGTGAGGCAACAAATCGCATTTTCAAAAATCCTCTTACAAGCCTTTCCAGTGGCTATAAAAAAAAAAAAAAAAAAAACCCTTTGAAACCTTTTTTTCCCCTTGTGCACTTGTTGGTCAGTACTTTTTATCAAGTGGAAAAGTTGTAACATCACTGAGGACACAGAGTCTATTACAACATTTTCATGCGTTAAGAGGTGACAGGCCAATGGCAGGTGTTGAATAGAGGCTTCAGGTAGTGATGGATCCCACTGGGACTAATTTAAGCATCCCTCACTGTTCACCGCGACGAGGTGCTTTTCACAGGTCAACATGCTGACATTTGGAGAGTGTTGCAGGTGTTGTCAGTCCCACAGAGAAAACTAATGACTCATTTCCTGTTCCAGTAAGCAAATCAGAGCAAGTGGTCACTTCACTGAATAATATAATTTTAATGACGATAATGACTGTTATCATTCATATTATAAGCACATCATTCCAATTGTAGCCTCATTTCTTTCCTTGCTGATTTTGAATGGGGACTCCACAGATATTATACAAAAAACCCTAATGATGTCATCAGGTACACATTCATGAAAGGAAGCCTGCATTACAAACTGAAGGTGTGGAGTGTCAAAGATGAGGGCATTTAACAGGCAGGGTACACTCAAACAGAAGTATTTCCTACAATCATCGTTCTGAACGGCCAAACTGGAAGGTGGAGTGGTGTTATTGTTATTATAGTCTAGCTCCAAAAGCAAGTAAATTTCCATTGACTCCCATGTTAATAGGTCCAACCTTACAGCAGAAATAAACATGTTTCAACCTGGTACAAAAAACTGTTTTCATCTCTACAACCAATTTTGTCCCTCATGACAAATGTACAAGGGGTGAATTCATATACAACTCACCTGTTTAAATTTTATTAAGGCTTAAAGTTCTGCATAATTAAGGGCTTGACCACTTTGAGTGACAGGTGGGCAAGCGTATGCTTGCCACAAACTGACATGCAAAAAAGTCAGGCACTGCCAAGATGGCAACAGCCAAGCAGCTCACTCTGAGCTTCAAAACCACTCTTCAGAAACCTGTGGGTGCGGCTACATCGATCTTTATATACAGTACAGTCCATGATAACAACCACTTTCAGATAGTCTCTCCTGGAAGACATTCATTGTGTTGCACTCGGTTGTAGTCATGAGGAGAAATCATCTAAATAGAGAAGTTTAAGCCCTGGCTCCTCTCACCTCCACACTGTCAATGTTCGAAAGTTTGTTTCAGAAAGTTACAGAAATTGTTGGATGCACCCTCCCCAACTCCACTGTGGGAAAGGTGTGGAAGGGATCAAGGCTATTTAACCATCTGACAAGCAGTTCTGATGGAATATACTGGCAGCTTAATCAAAGACGCTGTCGAGTTGTATTATGGAAACTTTAGGATGCAGTGTTTGACCTTGACCTTGTGTTCTCATCTTCATGGAAGTATAATATAAAATTTCTTACTATTGTATTGAATATTATTACAGCACAACTTGGTTTTCACCCTTCTGAGACCTTCTTATCTCCATACGAGCTGTGATTAACACTGATATCTTTGGACAAAAGCCCTTCTAGCTGTTCTGGGTTCAGGGTCAAGAACATTTAATATTAACATTTAACATTAATATCTAAAGTAACTATTGAGTTACATCATGAGAAATGTAGCACTCAGTGTTTTTGTAGCTTGACCAGCTTTTATATGTGTCTATGTGTGTCTATTTTTCAATTTTTCTCGAAGAGGAACTCCAAATACCGTCTACATAATATAACTAACTTTTATGCTTTTTGTTTATATGTAATTCTTCAGCTGGTCCTGAGGTACTATACGTACCTAACAATGGGCTTGGGACTTTCATGGTCTTCTGACTCATTGTCATTGGAGGAGTGGGACACTGTGCTGTGCCCTGAGAGTTGTCGCTATTCGGCTTAGATTGGATCATGAGATAGTGATGGTCTGCGTCTGCCACTGTCCTTTAAGTCCAATTTTGCTGTTCCGTTTTTTGGATGTGTGGTTGAAAACAACTTGTAGCCATGTTTGGAAGCACGTCACTGGACCACGCTCAGCCTTTGGGGGGCTTACGGCACAATAACCTACATAATGAGCAGCAGATCCATTCATAGTAGTACTGGGTACTGGGCAGCAGTAGCTGTAGGGGAGACTGGGGATGGTTGCAACAAGTCTTTCCCCAGGGTTTGGGTGAGTTGCAACATCAGAAATCTTCCATTCAAATAAATATTGTGAATATTATGTCAAATGTATTCATCTTTAAATGACATGGGTAATTAGAAGACATATAAGTTTAATATATAAAACCTTGGTTGGTCTAGTCCAAATACTCTCTGTGTATCTGAGAGAAATGCCAAACCCTGGGGAAAGACTTGTTGAAACTGTCCCCAGTCTCCACTTGTAATAGTAGTAGTGGTCATAGAGCAGCAGGATATAAATGTAGCTTAATATATATAATAATCTAAATCGTAAAATTATTCTCAACCCTGCAAAGGTTTGGTACGCAAGTGAAGCCCACAAAACCACAGAGGCATTTAATCTCCTTTGTGCCCAATATAAATGTAGTAATTTCCTGACTATCCATAATTCAAATGCTGGAGGAGTATAATGGATGTGTGGGTTGTAGCTTAAATAGAAACATTAATGTGAACACATTCAAGACAATGGCACCATTTAGCAAATTGTTCCCACTGTTTAATTAACACAATTTTATTATTGATGGCCTCTTAACTGTACAGTCCATCCTCAAAATGAGCCGACAGCTGAGCTCCCTGCAGACTCTGTTTCATAAGCAAAGGTTACGTACAGTAACACCTTCAGTCACTCCATATTATAAATTTCACTCTTCAGTCTGCACTAGCTGGAACTGTTTTCATTGTATTAGCTGTCTTTGTGGAACCAAAACTCAAATGTCAGCACATACTGTAAAAATGATGTAAAAATCCCATCAAACATTCTCACAACATGCATAAAAAATTAATGCCATTTGATGGAGACCTCCTCTGTTCACAGCACATTGCAGCACTGTGAGTGCAGACATTTGGAGCATGTGCATCCCCTGTGGAATTTGATCCTGTTAGTACTGGGAGAACTTGTGCCACACCTTATACATGCTGTTGACTGTAACAATTTCCAAAGAGTAATGCTGGTGACATGCATGAAGAAATATCCATTAAAAATGCACCATTTGCATTTGTTTAATGTATCATGACAAATAAAACCGTATTATGGAGACTATAAAAAATTTACCAGATATATATTTATAACTGAATGCATACCTAAAGTTTTTAAATGGACGTCTTGTTCTGCAGGGATTGTACCATATAGTACAGAGGACAAAAGAATAACAGACAGAATTCAATTACCTGCAGAATGAAAAAATAATCTCCAATACACCCTGTATGAGTTCATGGGGGACATGTTTCAGTTATACAATATGAGAGTTTATTACATCCTGTTAGCGTTTGTCATGTTTCCAAGATGTATTTTATTTGTGATGTCTCACTTTCCTCTGAATTTTTCCTCTAACCATTCGATGCGTGGTCTGCTGTATAATTTCTTATAGAAATTCATGGGAACCTTTTATCCTCATCAGTTATTTCTGTCATGTAATGTCTACTGTGAACCACACATTGGCATCAGCACTCAGCTGCATTATTTCACACAGCAATATCATTTTACATTAGATACACAAAGTATTACCTATATCTTTATCTAAAAAACTGCTTTTTGTCATGTTATTATTATTATAATTATTATTATTATTATCATTATTACAGTCGATTAGCTCACTAAGATAAAAAATACAGTAGTTATTGTGGATGTACTAAGTAGATAGTACCTAAGGTGCCAGTATACTGCATTAGAAGTGGTTATCAGTTGGTCAAAC